TATCCTATATATTATTGTATTGGTGGGGAGTAGGGTCTTTCCTTCTCTCTTTCTTGGTCATGCAGGGCATATAGATCCTTTGACATTTTTACTAATCTTTTTTCAAGCAGAGCATCAGATCAAATAAAATGGCTGAAATTGTTTTGTTGCTGAAATTATACAGTAGGGGCCATCTTGCGGTGGATCCTGAATAAATTTTTTTTACATGCTATACATGCCATTAAGGCCAAAAAATTTTTTAATTTTTTTAAAATCCAGTCTTTTCTGCTTGAGTTCGAAATTAGAATGTCTTTGGGACGTTACTGAGAATGTACTGATTTGTTTTCTCTTTTTATGGCCCAGTCTGAGATACACGAGCTATTGGCATTGGTGTACTATGATAGCCTTCAAAATGTGGTGCCATTTTATGATCAGCGAACTGTTGTACCCTTGAAGGATGCAGCATGGATGATGTTTTGTGAGAACTCGATGAGACATTTTAAAAAAGCTTTCGCTCACAAGTATGTCCTCTTTTCTTCATAGTTTCATTTTTCCAGTTAACTACTCAAACCAACCACCTGATGTGTCAAATTAAAATGGTGATTTGTCTGTGCTGTCTTCTGTATCAGGCAAGATTGGTCCCATGCTTACTATATTGGGAAGCTCTGTGAAAAGCTAGGATTCTCTTATGAGACATCATTGTCATATTATGATAAAGCTATTGCTCTAAATCCAACAGCTGTAGATCCAGTCTACAGGATGCATGCTTCGCGTTTGAAGATGCTTTGTACACGTGGAAAACAAAATATAGACGCTTTAAAGGTTTTTTCTTCTTTGGTCTTGCTTCTCCAAATCACCAGCCCCCCTCTTTTTTCTTTGAATTTTTTTTATTTTTATCAATCCAAATAATATATTCCTTAATAGGTATTATATTTGTCTTAACAATGAAGTCTAACTGGTCGGAAAAATCTATTTAAGTCCATAAGATGGATGCTTGCTTGACAGCTTCCTGTTTTACAATTAATTTTTTACCATTGCAGGTTCTTTCATCATATGCCTTTAATCAATCAAGAAAGGATGCTATCATGACAATCTTAGGTAACTTGGCTTCTGAAAACTCAAACTCGCCTAAGGATAGAAGCACACAAGCAAACACTGGGGAGCAGAAGCATGAAGATTCACTCAAATTAGAGGTGTGGAACATGCTTTACAGTGACTGTCTTTCTGCCCTTGAAACTTGTGTTGAAGGAGAGCTTAAACATTTTCATAAAGCCAGATATATGCTTGCTCAAGGTCTGTATAGAAGTGGGGAAAGTGGTGCGTTGGAGAGGGCAAAGGAAGAACTCTCCTTTTGCTTCAAATCATCTCGCTCATCTTTTACGATAAATATGTGGGAGATTGATAGCATGGTCAAAAAAGGAAGGTGCAACTATAATTCTATGCAACAATTATGTTTTTTTATTATATATTTCAGAATCTAAGGAATTTTGACACCACAAGGAATATACAGAAAATTTCTTTCGCTGGTTTTTTCTCTGAAAAAGAAACAGAATGCAAATTCCTTTAAACTAATTTCATGTGTTTAAACACACACACACCAAAAAAAATTTCAAAGAAAGATTTTTCCACATTGACATACTACCCAAACGCCCCCTTTCAATATTGTCAGTTTGTTTGCTGTCCATGTTGTTAAGTAGCTTAAAATTATAATTCCATATGAAACTAATTGGATATATCTTCTCTGTATCAGGCGGAAAACTCCTGGTTTCTCTGGGAGTAAAAAATCCCTTGAAGTTAACTTACCTGAAAGTTCTCGAAAGTTTATTACTTGCATCCGGAAATATCTGTTGTTCTATTTGGAACTGTTGGAGAAGACTGGAGACATCTGTACTCTTGACCGTGCTTATATATCTCTGCGAGCTGATAAGAGGGTAATATTTTAACCTCTAGTGCCATTACTTTATTGACTTTCATAGCTGAAGTAATTTCTTGATGAGTTCTATGACTTGTGGAACAAAATATTTTATGTTTCAATGCATTTTTCTTAATTCACTCGTCATGTATGCCTCTATAATAGCAGTTCAAATTTACGCGTCATTGTTACTGTCAAAATAGCATGTTCTTGTCTAGCCCATCTTATTCTATTTCTGATTTTTTTTCTTTCTCTACCGATTTAAGTGGGATCTAACTTGATTAGAAAATCCAGTTTTCACTATGCATTGAAGATCTTGTTCCAGTAGCACTCGGGAGGTACGTTAAGGCCTTGGTTTCATCCATGCGACAAGCTGAGACTGTTGGCTCTGGTGCTACAAGTAATTCTGAGCATATATTGGAGAAAGTGTTTGTTTTGTTCATGGAGCAGGGAAACTTATGGCCAGAAATATGTGGTTTGCCTGAGATTAAGGTCACAGAAACATCAGAAAGCAGTTTATATGGGTAATTTAAATTGCACAGAAAAATTTATGTTTACTTTATTTCTCAACTTCTAATTAAATTCGAGTGTTTAACTCCAGAGTCCTGATCCATCTTTGTTTATTAATCTTGAACAAGATAGTTCTCCTTCCAGAGTCTAATGCACTCCTTGTACTTCTGCAGATATCTTCATGAACACATAATAACTTTGGAGAAAAATGGCAAGCTGGAGACACTTGAAGCCATAAATGAGAAGATACGAAAGAGGTTTAAGAATCCAAAATTATCAAACAGTAACTGTGCAAAAGTTTGTAGGCATGCTTCCATTGCTTGGTGTCGATCTCTTATACTAAGCTTGGCAAAGATCACTCCGTCACAGTCTGAAATCACCAGTGAGATGCGGGTCCTTAATCCAACAGAGATGTTGGAAAACAGCCAGCTGCTTTGTGTTGATCTGCAAACAGACGAATTATGGAGTTCAGCATTCGAGGACCCAACCCACTTTAAAAATCTTGAAGCAAAACGGAATCCTATTTTGTCTAAAATAAAGAATTTAACAGTTAAGAAAGCTTCAGATGAAAATTTGGAGGCTGCCAGCGCTCTGCTTCGATCTTCTTACAATTTTTATCGTGAGAGCTCCTGTGTGATGCCCTCATCTGGTGTCAACCTGTATTTGGTTCTGTCTTGGTTAGCAAAGGATACACAGTTCAAGCCGACCATGGATGGGGCTGAAATCCTTGACCTTAGCATTCCGAGAAAGCTTCTCTTGTGGGCTTACACGCTATTGCATGGCCGTTACACAAACATATCTTTTGTCGTAAAGCATTGTGAAGAGAATGCAAAGGTATGGAAAATCAACAGCTGCAGTCCCTTAAGCATTCACAAGGGCATGATGACACCATAAAATGCGCTTCTCTTAGTTCTGATATGTTAAGAAACATGAACACAACTGCATTTAGCATATGATGTCCACATCAAAGCAAACGATCTGCTGCACAAGTTTGAGGTAGTTAAGGAAATGAAATTGACTAATGCATTACGAATTTGTGGTTGTATTTTGCAGTCTAAAATGAAAAAAGGAGCTGGAACCTTATTTGCGCCCTCAAACACAAGCACACCCAACACCAGCACTACGCAAGCAGGTTATTCAACTTCTTCCCTTCATCTTTTTTGTTAAACCTTATTGGGACCATGTACGGAGAGGAGAAAAGGCATGGTAAACCAGAGCTGAAGCAATTTACCCCTTTTGAAAGTTTGCTTGTCTGCTTTTGGGGTTAAAAAAAGCACTGTTATCTGCAGATTGTCTTTTCACTCACACACACACTCTGATGGTTGTAGCTGCGTTACTGGTTGCAGGTTGTGGGAGAGATGGAGCTGGCCATGCTGGAACCAGTGATGCAGAGGCCACTCCGGTGACAACAGTTGTATCCGCTTCATTACCTGAGGACTCCATGCAATGTGCCAATCCACCACCTTCCGGCGTCTGTCAAAGGAGTTTATTTGCTGCTCCCCAACTGCACCATTGCAGCAACACCGTTGCAGAGAGGAGCAATACAACGGCAGATGGAGGTGGTTTAGACAAAAGTTGAATTACAATTAGTTAATTGTATCGGTATTCTTGTAAATATTTTCTCCCAATTAATCTAACGTATCTTTAGGCTAACCGGATGCTGATGTGATGTGATACCCAACTGGATGCAGTTTGGATTTAAGGGCTTAAGAAAACAGGCCGTTGTCAAGATCATTTATACTGTGAAAGCAACACGATACTTAGTAGTGACAAAGATCATTTGTAGGCAAATGGTTGATAATATATACAACTGGTTTGAAATTGGGGTTTGGGGGTGTAAAATTTAACTGCACAAAAACTCAGAAAATGACATCCCAAACTCTAAAATGTCATATTACATGCATCAAACTCCAAAATACCAATATTCAAACTCGAAACCTCAAAATGTCAAAATCAACATCGCATGCCAAAATTCAACTCCAAACCACCAAAATGCCAAAAATCACACCCATAATCCTAAAATGTCAAAATTTACTCTCCAAATACCAAAAATATAAAATTCATGCTCGCAACGCAACTTACAAAATGCCAAAAAATTTACACTCCCAACTTCCAAAGTGTCAAAAATTTCACTCTAAATCCCTTGGTATTTTTTTTTTTTTTTGTTTGGGGTCTGAAAATCCCTTGGTATTAAAACGCGCAGTATCACTTGCACATTTAGAACGGGGAGAAGAAACGAGCAGCCCAACCTGTCCTCTTTCTTTTTCAGTAGTTTTTTTGTTTATTTTTCTTCCCAGCCCAGCATCCCAATAAACAAACTTTACTGCCGTGTTCCTTGTTCAACATCAAATTTACTTCAGATAGGAACGAAGAAAATGGGAAGCAGAGCTTTGCTTCTGGTCAAGGGAGTGTCTTCTTCTTCGCTACCCAAGAACCAGCTTTTCTGCAACTTTAACTGCAAAAGCAACTTTCCTCGTCTTAAAAACAACTGGGTTCGAACAAATTGCTCAACAACCCAAAGCAGCGGGCCTTCTCTGGAGCCTCCAGACTTGCCTCGTTTGGCTCAGACTGCACGAATTTCTCTGACCCCTCATGAGGTGTCTTACCCTTATCTGTTTTCTTTTGAATTGATGCCTCATCATAGTCATACATTTCATTGACTAAATTTCCATTCTTTTTATTTCTTAATTTTTTATATATAATTATTTTCACTCTTATAAAGGTTGAAGAATTTGCTCCCAAAATTGGACTTGTTATAGATTGGTAAGCTTAATCTTTTCCTTTAATTAACATCACGTTGAAGTATTTTATGCTTTTTGTTTGTTGTTATGATGAGTTATGGTTGGCTGGTTCTTTTGCAGGTTTGGGCAGCTTCAAGATGTTGATCTTCAAAGTGTGGAGCCCTCAATCAGAGCAGGTGCTTCAAAACCATTCATAAACACTCATTTTTAGTTCACATTTCACTCTTGTTTTCTGTTATTATTATTATTTTTTTGAAAATAAATTAATGGGATTGAAAACTCAACCACATGGCTTTATTAGCTGCATTGGTTTTCCTGTTCGTAATTATTATTATTTTAAAAAAATTTAACAAATGCAGGAGGTTGAATCTTACTTATATTTCTCTCTGTGCTAACTGCAGATACTGAAGGTGATAGTTTCCGGGCCGATATTCCTGAAACATTTGAGAACAGGTGTGATGGTTGTGTTCACTCTATTCATGCATCCAAATTTGGGTTCACATTTATTCGATTGATAAAGCCATCGAAACTTATTTTTGTGTTTCAACAGGGAGGCCATGATTGCTGCTGTTCCAAACTATGAGGGGCTATATATTAAAGTTCCCAAGGTCTTGAACAAGGAGTAGAGCTAGCTTTTTCCTTCTCTCTTGGAGTCCTTAAGCTATGTGTGGGCTCAAGGGAATAGCATGAAACCTATCATTCAAAACCAAAAAAAATCTTTATGTTTCCTGATTTCAAATGTCTCATCGTTCAATCTTTTGTTTCAATATAACAGTGCTTTTGTGGTGAAATCAAGATTTGGACATGCGCTTACTGTCGTGGCGCTAGCCGATTTTACCTTTCGTAGTTTAGAAATGCGTCTGCTTCATTTTGATCATTAGAAATGTGCCCGATTTTACCAATCATTTGCTGCTTACTGACAGAGCCTTAGAGGATGCATTTTTAGCTTAAAAATATGAGACATAATGCATGATCCAAGCATTTGACACTCTGAGGTTAAAAATAAGTTGCTGAAAAGAAAGCTTTTGAACTTAGGCTTTCAGTTTCATCATACTTTCTAATCAAATTCTGCCATCTTGTGCAACACTCGGGTGGGTATCTGCTGCCAGCTGCAATATAGTTATAACCAAAAACAGAGAGTGCAACTTGGACGAACAGGATTTTCCTCCCAAAACCGAAAACCAGCTGCAGTCTGTAACTTGGCAGAGAACTTAAAGACTCAAAGAAGACACCAGACTATTCTAGAAAAGTTGCGCATACCAATTGGTCCAATCGAATAACAATAATGAAAATAAATAAAATGGACCAAGAAAGTCCCGATTATATATATGTGGGGCCAGGCCCCAAGTATTACAGGAAAATGTAGGCAATGAAGGCTCAAATCCACTAAAGAGTGGGTATAATATATGCCCCAATTACTATTTACAGAAAACAAACTTGCACATTTTTCAAAAGTGGTTACAGAATAAATCATTGCCTCTCAACTTTTGTTCTCATCTATTTCTTTTTACTTTCCTGAATTCATATTTCAACACTTTTTTGCCCTAACCTAAGTCAATCACTCACCTACTGTCAAAATAACATACAAGCAGAAAGTATTACAAAATAGGAATAAAGCAAAAAATACATGTTAATTGTGGAGAATATCTTGTTAAATATGGTCACGACTGCCAGAACAGCTCAACATCATTGCTGTACAATGAACGGTCTTGAATCTCCAGATTGGCAACATGCCAGTTGATTAGCTGGGATTGAAAAATTTTACAAAGCAGCAGTCCAGCAGGAAAAATCCACCATTCACTTTCATCCCTGCATCGACAGCCACGGATAAAGAAAAACAACCTGTTAGTTGAGTATTGTGCCAAGAACAGAACTTACTATTTGGACTAACGGTGTTTTTGGTAGGTAGAGATCTTCTCACATGCTAATATTCCAGGGTTGAAATTGAGGTATTTTATTTGATGACTGAGTGTTATAATGAACATATCCACAAACAAAAGCAACCACCTGGCAAAAGAATACAGCATCAATATATAATACAAATTAGCAAATTCGGATTCCAGTAAAGAAATAGAAGATTTCTGAACTTGAAGCAATTGTACCAAAATATTTATTTCTTTTTGTAAGCCTTCCTTATATCTTATTGGGAGAGGGAAGACTTACAAAGCAAAGGATAAAAAGTAGAAACTTACGACATTAATCAGGGATGTAAGGTTCCACAAAGCATGTACACGTGCAAGGCCAGCAGAACGTCTGGGTCCATGACTGAATAGAGCATTGATACCAGCAGGAAATGGAAGAAGAATGCCAAGCGGTAAAATAAATAGAACCAGAAAGACATCCGCTAATGAAATTGAATACAACTGGAGCAATGTAAGCAAAACTAAGCTAAAATCTCCTAAGAGGAGCATCGAGATGACTAAACCAACGAGATCCTGCAGTTCATATAAAAAATTGTTAATAATGAGAGATTTGAAATCTCCAGCTAACATATATTATATATGTACTGTTATATACGCATGAGAGATACCTGGTGTCCAACAGGTTTAGTATTATGAAGTATAAAAGAGAGAAGATAAAATATATCTCTCTTTTCTTCAAGCATTTGTAAGTTGTTAGCCTCTATAATCCCTCCATATGTTCTCTTTCGCCTCATTAGATTTTCACTGCTTCTGTGAGATTGGCTTATGAGTGTTTCTCTCAAATGACCCAATGAATCTTCTTTGTAAATGATATTTGCGCTAAAAGTCAAAGAAAACAGAGTCAAACTCACTAGCATCCAAGTGTATCGCTACATATGTACTCAAAGTAGTGCTTTATACCACTTAAATCTCTTCATGTATCACTACACAGGCCGACGGACTTATCTATTTGATGTTATGCCAGTACCATTATTTTGTCTCAGTGTTCACGCGTTCATGCTTGTGCATATTATCATTGTTCCAAATTTCATCTGATCTTATTAGTTGCATTTTGCATAATATTTCTTTACCGCTATTCAAAAAACCCAGTTTCCTACGTAAGGGTAATAACCATAATGACGGTATTATAAAAAAATTGGGACTGCTAATGGACAAAATTTTACTCCTAATCTAATGCGCATTAGTTTCACTAAATTTCAATCATAATCTCATGCACAGAATTTTCACTACGCCACAATCAGTTCTGACAATAATCTAATATCAAATGAAATTTGCAGGGACCTAAATGATAACAAAAAAACAATTGTTCCGGACACACATTACAAGCCATTACCGTGATTCTTCAGTTCGTATTGCTCCATCGATGCTCACAACAGAGGCCGGATCACTGTCCTCTTCAAGAGCATCCACCACCAATCCATAATGACAATAACCACAAGCTGTAGCCTGAAACCAAGCAAGATCGACACGTACACCATAAATCTTCAAAGCAGGGTTGGCATAACTTTCAAGCCACCTAAGGACAGGATGAAGAGTAACTCTTAGCCGCCCACGGCAAACTAAGCGTAATTGTGCATTCAAACCAGCCACCATACGGTACCATGTGGTAGGTGGGACTGACTGCACAGCAAATGTGTTAAGATTAATAAAGTTGTAAAGAAGCTAGAACATAAAAATAGATCAGTTTCGCCAACTGGGCTTTGAATTTGTCAGATCAACAACCAAACCTGACTCATGAGGCTTGTAACAATATTATCGCTGTGAAGTGAGAAAGGGGCCATGTAACTTCCATCACCTCCAAAAGGTAATGACATAGGAAATCTGTGATGTAAACGAGGAGGAAGATCAGTTCTCTTTTCATCCCCACCAAGGAAGAAGTCCACATATGCTAGCATTAAGTCAGAAGTTGCAGCTACCTGACAATAATACAGCAAAAAGTTACATGATGAAAAACCAAGTCCGCATTGTGAATATTGCTCCTTTTACACATTACAAGTAATTAAGTTTTGAAGAACATGCTAATTGTTTATAAGGAACTTTGCTCCTCTAAATGGCTAAGGGAATTCAGAAGAAAAACATGTATGCTAGGATAAAAACGTCCAAATAAATGTTAAAGAATTATGTAAAACATAAATATACATGAACATAATTGAGAAGAAAATTACAGGAAATAACATCCCAAGATGGCCCACAAAAAAAAAGAAACATTGAAACAAGTAATAAACCCTCACACGTTATACAGTAATCGCTCAACAGATAAAGAGAACGCAATCGTCTTCCCACATGTATACTGTACTCAAACTCTAATAAAAGAAAAATCTAAATAACAAAATAGATTTAAAAGGAAATACAATCAATTATGGCATGCACGTAAACAATCAATTACACAAAAACCCATAAATGGTATTCAGTTTTTAAAAAATACAAGAAAAAGAAGTTTAAAAGAAAGGAAAAACACTGGTAGTCACAAACCTTGATCCCTTCATATAGGGCTCGTGAACGACAAGACCGTAAGCAGGCATGATCATATTCCGATCTAACAAATTCACGGAGACGTTGCAATTTCAATCTTCGGCGCCAGTGCTGCCATGACCATGCAAGGGGGTAGGCAAGAACAGAAAGAATGCTGTACATTGCTCCTTCCCACCATTGATAAGTGGCTATGGAATTAATCTCATCGACAAATGTATTGAATGGCCCCTCATATCTGCCATAGGGAACGCTATATTTCAAACTATAATCTTTTAGATTTGTCATATATAAATAAGAAAGAGAAAATAGCCACAAAGTTAAAGTTCCTTAGAGTCCTAAGTGGATACTGAAATAATTGTACATAAATAATATATACAAGTTAACTCACACAATCTCTTTTACTTGCTCTGGTGGAGTGTGGGGTAAATGCCAAGGTTTGCCAAACGTATTAGGACCCATAAAATACATCCGGTGCACATGACTCTGTGACTCCTCGGCTCTATTTGTTTCCAAAACCTACAAAATGAACACAGCTTATCAATCAAAAAAGTGTGGGAAGTGGGTGGGGGTGGGGGGGATAGGGGGAGAGAGAGAGATAGGGCAATGGCAAAGTTCTTTTATACAAGAACAAAACCTCATTCAATGACTCCAGGAAAGGGAAGGAGTGATCTATTTGTGAGCCATGTTGAGTGGGAGCGGGGCCTGGTAATTCATCAACCCCAACAAATTTCATTCGTGCAACACTGAGAACCAAAGCTAACAGGATGAGGAGACCAATCAGAAGAAGACCAAATAGCCAAGGCCCACCAAACGTGTAAATCAATTCTTCAAGAGCCGTATAACAGTGTGGCATGTGATATCTGTCTGAAATGCATTTGAAAGGACATGGAGCCTCAGCAACACCACCTGATAAGAAGACAAGGTGTGGTTTAATAGATAAATTACCAGAAGTTGCAAAAACTTCGGACGCAATTTAACAAGTAATAATATGGATCTGGAAACAATATATAATGACTACAAATCAAAGGTACAATACCATTAGAACTCAAAGGCAGCAGGCATTCTGGCTCCTAATAAAGCAATTAATCACTACAGTTATAGAAGTACCTCGGACAGAAATATAAATTGCACGAAGGGGAAGCTCATTAGCAGGACAATGATGACTATAATATTATAGTTAATCAATCCACTTTTAATTATTGATAATGGTAGTGGGAAGGGAGAGAGAGAAACCCCAGCCATAGACATACAAACTATGTCCAAACAATTTAGGCATACCTCACAAAAGGTCCCATAAAGACCTTTTGGGCAATCTTTCCCCGTCACCGTTCCATCTTCTCCAGCACCACCCTGGTCCCTACCCTCCCCTCCCCTGCAATACAGAGAAAAAGTATTTCTTTTTTTCAGAGTTGATTGCATGGTAATACCCTTCAAACATGGATTGAACGTGGGGTCCTACTCATAGTAGTTTGTAAGAAAATATGAACAAATTTGACTATACAAACCCTGAAAGGATGCTTCCGTCCACACTTGCAATGGGCTGATACACATCTCCAGTGGGAATGTCTGACCAATGGAAATGAATCCTTCCACCACCACCTCCACCACCGCCAATGGAACTACTGTATCCCCCAACACTTGAAAGAATGGCAGACTCACCGAGAGCTAGTGTTCGCAAGAACAGAAGTATAGAACCACCAGACCCACCCCCAGGACCTCCACTTAAACTATTAACAAGGGGAAAATTTTCTTTTAAAGTAGTCCTTTCAAAACTTTCACCATCAGTTGTCATCGAGCCTTCAACGGACAAACTTGACAAGGGATGCTCCGAAGAACCCATTACTGTTTGGAAGATACAATGTATTACTATGGGGAAAAGAATTGGAAAGGGTAACTGTGAACTCAATTATGCAAGTATAAACATAGCCAAGTCAAAAACAAAATACAAGTTTAAGTGACAGATGATTAGCATTGCTTCAGCCTCAGACATATGGTGAAATGGAAAACTGCCACTAACACTAGGATATGGCTATATTCAAAATGCCTTCCACTGATTGAAAGAAAAATAGCATGAAAACCACCTAACCTAACAGCTCAAAATATAAGCTTACCGATAATACCACCACCAGCAGTTGAACCAGCAGAAATGTCATTTCCGCTTCCACTACCAAGTTCACAAGGCAACTCTTCATTCCCGTATGAGATTCCACCCTCAACACAACTACCATCATAACATGCAATCCCACCTTTACCACCATGCCCGCCACCACTGCCGCTTCCATTGCTTAGAATGTTGCCACTACCAATGCCGCCGGTACAGCCTGCAGTATATGTAATATTTCCAAACAAAAAAGATTATTCTTTCCAAGCATTCACACTTTGCGGCACGTATTTCGGTCAAATTTGGAAAGGTAGGGGTGTCCTGAAAAGCTTACCCATTCCTGATGCACTTAGTGCTCCAGAAGACTGGATAGCAATGGTCCTTGCCCGGTGAAAATGGACAACGGATCCTTTTACAAGGCCTTCAATAATGATATCCTCAACTCGGCATATCTGACAAACCAAAGTAACAAGATTGAAAAATTTCCAAAGCAAGTTCATTGTTAAGCCCCCTTACTGGATATCTCAACTCATTACACACCTGAAGAGTAAAGGACAGGGATGAGTTCACATTGCAATCTTCAGGTGGATGGAGTAGTTCAGAGGGGCAATCTTTGTTTTCACAATACAGCTTTGGTGTCCTATAGAACATTAGAACATGACAACCGATAAAATTAGTGACTAAAGGGGGACCATACAAAGTTCCCCTTTTTTGGGGGGGGGGGGGGGGGGGGGGGAGGGGAGAGGAAGGGGACAGAAGAAGATTCAATCAGACCTGGGTACGATACAACCCAGGTCAAACTTACAGAGAATCAGATGTGGCATTCTCCAAGGGACCACGCAAAACAGATCCAGGTCCAACCTTCATAAAGAAAAAGGAATCATCAATTAATGATGTAGAACAAGTATATTCCATCAGGCCTAGCATGTCCAAAATTAATAATCAGTTTCCAGAACAAAAGAATAAACAGTTGAACAAACTACATGTAAACAGAACATCAAGGATACCTATTACATCAAGAAAAATCACTCACATGAATACTGTAGAATAGTGATAGAACCAGACGTTGTCCTTGAATCGAATCTCCTGGTCCTGACAAGTTCAACAAACCTTGTCCATGAACTCCCAGGTTTGCATTAGAGTGTATCACAGATGATTCCTATTATGAATAAAGATTACTGTCATATATGAATGCATCATAAGCAATAAACTCCAGAAAATGCAAAGAGATAGTAAGCAATTTACCCTAAGAACAACTAAGTTACTAGCCTCAAGCAAGGATGTCTCAACAGCTTCTTCCCCACCACCGTCAATGAGCATCTTGGAATTCCACATCAAGAACATTTTTACAGACATGCGTAAGGCCCCATACACCTGAAGTTAGAAAAGGAAAAAAAAAGGGGCCAGTTTATCATTAGAATACCATAACCATCATAGTTAAAAATCAGAAGCGACAAAAATGAATGGCTTCGCACAAGATGAAATGCAAGGCGTGTCAGTGTCACAGAAATTTGACAGTAAGCAGAAATATGATATTCTCATCAAGATTATTAAGCTCTCTGCTGAACTGAAACATGGTATACAAGTTATCCACATGATAAGGACAGTAGCTGAAGCAAATGAAAAATAAAAAAATATTGTCCACAAAATTGCATCTGATAGAATCAGGACAGGAACTGCAAACAAGGAAATTGACAAATTTGCCACTTACCTTGATTACAGAGTCACTCATTAACAACTCTTCAGCCAATAACTCAAACTCTGATGAAGCATAATGTGGAAGTCCAAAGCTTAACACACCATCACTCAAAAGGCTTATCTGTCCTTGTACCTGTACAGCACAAGGAATGGGTAACTGAAATTTTCCTCAAAATTTAAAACTTTTGTGTAACACCTGCAGTCTCTCAATTTTTTAAACTAGATACAAAATCTATAAGAAAAAGAACACATAAGCCGTACAAAAAATGAGAATGTAATTAGTAGGAAGAAACACCTTCAGAAGTCTACTATAGGTTACAAAATTGAGTTTCACAAACCTGGACACGACTCCAAAGCAAAGGAACAGTGGCCCTCGCCTTATTTTCAATATAAACATTTGTCCAAAGAGGATGAAAAGGAAACTCCAAAAGAAGTGTTTCTGTATCTGTTGACTTGTTATGATTGTTAACAAAAAGGCTTCGAGGAACTGCATCATATAGAGTCCCAGCAGCACCCGCATTTTCTGGACAAGCATAGCTACTTCCTCCTGCAAATGAGATAATTAAGGTCAGTGTTTGAACACTCAGAAAATAATACTCCCATCATTCCACATCAAGAAGTAAGCACCATTAACACAATTTTGATCTTCTTCAAGAGGGTTGCTGACACATATCCCCGAGACTCATTGCATAACTTACATTAAATTAAGCAACAATATATCTTCTAATAGTCAACCCAATATTTTAAGGATGAAACCTTAGTTGAGTTGAGCTACTTGAGTAGAATCTGTCTTTCATAAATAAAACCAACAAGATCAATGGAAAAATTATGAACACTTAAATTGTAGTTCAGTATTAAAAACATAAGAAGTGAACAATAGAACTGTTAAAGTCATATTAAACAGCTCCAATAAGATTTATGAGATGGAAACAGATAGATATCTAAGGAATTCTACTTAATCATAACAAACGTTGAGAGGGTGGAGGTCCAACTCAGTGAACCCATTTGGAAAACTAGGACCAGACCATCAGTAAGTAGATAAAGAGATGTTTTACAAGATCCACCAACATATATTGAAATCAGAACAGCATATTACAAAACATGAGAAACTACTAAGAAAATCACATACAATGCCAAAAAGCAAGGCAAGAAAATTGTCAATCATTAAGTTGCAAATAAGGCTGTTCCAAAACGTTTACAAGAAATGACAACAGCGCTAGCCATGCCTGGCGAACAAAATGGTGTCTCACCATGCACAAAAATTTTTGGGTCATCGTGCCTACTAAAGACATCAACTGACACTCTTCCACCGCCACCACCAGCATAACCATTGCCGCCACAAGCACTTATCCTGCCATTACCAGTCCTGCACTTCAAAACAACAGAGTTCTATTAGAATGCATGAAGGCCCCCTTGCATAATATGCACGTATAAGGTATAACAATATATGTAGTGATGCAACTTGATGCAGATGGAAAGCAGTCATACCAACAGTCACATAGACTTGGGGCATCAGAACAATTAGATAAAACATAGTGACACATTTACAAACACCTACGCAGATAAGAATAACACCTGATAATATATATAAGCAAAATAACCATGTTTTGATGCACGCCTACAAAGATACCATGTATCCAGTTGTTACCTTTCTAGCATTTTGTCATCAGAATAGAAAGCAAGAATCGAAAAACAAACATTCAAGGATTGAATAAAGTTAATTCTCAAACATCTTTTTCCATCCACCAAAAGTCCACTCCAAGAGAAAAGGAAGTAGATTATCAGAACACATGTCGAGAATCAAATGTACAACCAATGTGTAACTGAAATAGAGCGCATAGCCTCACTAGTACATTGTAACTGGCATTGTAACTTTTGCCCTTCGCATTTTTCATTTTTCTTTTAAGAAAAATCTACACAGTGAACAAAGTGTAACATTGTAAGATTCATGGCAACCAATGAAATTTTATTTTTTGTCATTTTATATTCCACTCTTTTTGCTTTGCCTCAACAAGCTAAAAACTAAACCAAACGAAGGCATAATTAATGTTAGGTAGAGAAGTCTATCGTATTGCTACTTCCTACATAGAGAAATGGAAAATTTTAAATTTCCTTTTCATTTCTGTAACATTCTCACTAAACAAATAAAGCCAAACTCACCATCTTAACTACAGTAATCATATATCTACTTTTTTCCGACATTTCTCATCAACATATAATCAAAACCTAAAGCTCATTCAACACAAAAATCAATATAAAGAGCTTTTTCAAAAATATTCTTAGGAAAAAAAAAAAGGAGAATTAATGATGAATATTACATTTTACGAGCCTTAATGTAGATGCTGCCACCAGAACCACCTCCACCTTTTGTTCCTCCATCACCTCCTTCAGCCAAAACACTTCCATTCACCACAAGAAATTTCTTGATCTCCAGCCACACCCTCCCACCCCCTAAACCTCCATAATCCACCTCCCTACTCGTCGACCCCCCTCGGCTCCCAAAACTACGCGGACCCTGCAGCGTCGACCACGAGTAGGCGTCGCCGCCCCACACGTCCTCCGGAAGCTTCGTCTCATCCACCAAACAACATGCGCCCCGTCCTCCGTGGCCCCCACCCGCCCCCTCAATCCCCTGAGGGGTCCCACTGGTCTGCGCCGGCGGCTTCCCCGCCAAAGCCGTCGTGTTCACCGCCGAGCCATCGAGAAAGCTGGCATTTTGCGCCGTGAGCTCGAAAGCCCCAGCTAAAATCGACGAGGAGTTGCCTAAACTAAAGTTACCAGTAATGTTAACAATTACAACGCAACCAGGACTCGAGCAATAGAATCTCACCCCGGGTAGGATATAAAAATTGCCCTTCCCTTCTATGTACACGTCGGTGGTGAGGTTCGTGTCGGCGACTATCTTACACGTGGCGTCCAGAGTGCCGACGCCGCCGAGGTCATCGGTGCACGAGACTGACGGCGGGTGCGGCGGAGGTGGAGGCGGAGCCGGCGGCGAGTAGTCCTGGTGGAAGAGATTGGCATCGGAATCGATTATCGAAAACTCGTCGTCATCGGAGGCGAGGAGTAGGCGAGGGTTTGTGGTTAGGGCTATGAGGATGTAGAAGAAGGCGAAATGGAGAGTGGGAGGGTGAAAGCGAGCCATTCACTGGTGGCGAGAGTCATTACTCATTGGGTTGGATTTGAAAGCTCCGAATTGGGAATTTGGGGCGAATTGGATTGCGATTTTGAATGCAATGAAACGCAGAGACCACCGTGTGAATTTGTGCGTTTTGGTGAAGGAAACTCCACTGACAACCCTAGAAATCGTTCTGCAACAAAGAGAGAGAAAGAGGGGACAGGGTGGGGAACAGGAAGTTCATTGATTTTTGGGGAAGTTTGAGGAGGTTTGAGAAAATGATCAGGTGCTGTCTGTTTTACATGAGCTTGGGTTGTGGAAGACAACCATTGGTTGTAGATTACGTGTGTTTTCGGATGTCTTGTAAATAGAACTGGGATTGGCTATGCGGGTTTGGTGTTTCGTATGGTTCAGCGTGCCTGATCATATATTCAGATGGATCTCACGCTTTTATAAAGAACGTTTCACACACTCTCCTAGACAACGCAGAGAGAGATAATGAAAAGCGGCGTGAAACGACGCCGTAAAAGGAAAGTAACCAGGGACACCCAACGTGCATTGGTGCTCGGCGCGTGGCGGAGGCAAAAGATTTGGCAGCAAAAAATCAACGGCTACTTACCCGCGGGGGAGCTAAGTTGCGTGACCGATGGAGAGGTGTTCTGCCAGCAAGGCAGCAACATCGGCTGCTGTCGCTTCTTTTTCAACGGGAATTGGGGAATGTCTTGGTCTGTGACTGCTTTACGTGGGACAGCTGGGTGACGAGGTCGTTTTCTTAACGGAATGGGTTAGGTGTTTCCTGAAAATTTAAAGGGAGGACACGTCGCCATAATTGGGAGAAAGCAACCCAATGCAAGCTTACTCACACGCACCTTAGCGCTGTTTGGGTGTGAAGTTGTGCATGGGTTGGTTGGGAGTTGGGACTTTATAACTATATCTTTTGTTTGTTGTTTTTGTTTTTGGGTAAGGAAGCTTTACGAACAATAATTGATTAATCCAGTCGATTACGATAGTGACTTCGCTCATTTACACTCAACTTTGAATTCCTTATAGTATTTATAAACGATATTGAGAGAGAGGGACTGCACTGAACTTTTAACTGTATATATAAACAAACAACAAAACTTATCGATATCTTATTAATACATTTTTTATATAAATCCGTAAACGGATGCACTGCACTGAATTTTCCAACTAAGAAGAAAATACGAAAACCAGGACACAAAATAAATGAGCTAAATGACCAATGTTTTGATTGATAACTAAAGTGGTAAGTTTGGTGGTTTTGTCAGTTGATGTTTTAGGACAAGTAATGTTTAGGATACACAATTGTAAGTTTATATATACAGTTAAACTAGCCTCTCCGCACGCGCTTCCGTGCTTGCGAGAGGTTTTTTTTAAAAAAATTAAAATTATTTTAGAATTAAAAAAATAATGGGTAGTTGTATTCCATAAAAATATGACATATTATCTAATTTTGTTTTAATATGAAAAAAATGTGAATTTATCATATTATTCTCATTTAATTAATAATTTCAATTCTTAATGCTTGAATTAACTAATGACATTTTCTAGTATTTTGAATGTTTCACCGTTCTCTACATTTTGCTTTATATATAGATGCGTTAATTTATACGAGAAAACAAAAATGAGGACAAATGCATTAATTTGTTGCAAAAGTGAGCACTGAGCAAATTATGTATCGTTAAATGCGTTAATTTGTATGAGGAAACAAAAAAATGTATAGATTAACGCATTAATTTGTAACAAAAATGAGCTAATTTTTTAGCTGCAGTACAAAAGATGAAAACCCCAAATTTGCAGAAAGAAAAAAAAAAGTACCCAAAAGGAGCTCATCTGATCTGAGCAAAGAGAAAATGATAAGGTCTAAAATGAGCGGTGACGTAAGGATGGGTTCTGCAAACGGTTTCTGAAAACCTGGTTGGCTGCATGTTTTATGCATCGTTTTCATGATTTTAGTGACATCAATGAACCAATATATCCTTATCGCAAAAATGAGGCTACTTTGGCATCAAGGCCTTCAAACGGCTACGTAAGCATCATAGCGTGGAGGGTGAGCAGCAGAGCCACATATTTTATAGGTTTTCAATAGTGTGTATATAATGTGATAACAGATAAGAGTTGACAGTGAAACAGAGATATTGGGGGAGAGCTTGATTAAATGGAGTTTAACCGCGTCATTAGAACAAACACTTGTGTGTAAACACTAGTTCAGATCATTAATATGTACCCGTGGTGACGAGAATACAATACACACCTCTATACTATACACTGTTAACTGAAAAAGAAAGAAAAAAAGAGGCTTGAAAGAACAATCAGCACATGCAATTCTTCCCCAGCACGCCGAGGGAAATGAAAGAATGCTAACATACAACATTGTAATCTTCGCATGAGAGCAACAAAAATTCCCATGGTAGAGTTGTGAGCTGCAATTTTGATGGGGAAATAAGAGAAGGTAACCCATGATTTTCTGTATCCTTCAATCTCTACCAGCGAGTAGCTATAGTTGTCAGCATATGATTGACTAATTTGCCCGGGCTACTGCTTCTGATAGAGAAACTAAGGATGGCTTGCTTTCTTTCCATGTTACTCTGAACCTACTAGTTATTCAAGTAATGGCTTAGGTATTTGTGGGATTCTTCAACCTTCAGCTTCATCAGAGCTTTCTTTTCTATCTTCCTTATCCACTCCTTGCTCACATGGAAAAGTCTGCCAATCTCCTCAAGTGACTTGGGGTCGTAGTTGTTTAGCCCGTATCGCAGTACCAACACTTGCCTCTCTCTCAAATTCAACCCTTTCAGCAGATCATGAATGTCCTTTTTCATGTGTTGCCTCATGACAGTTTCTTCAGGGCTCTTTAGTGATGTGTCTGGTGTAAATTCCTGGATCATGAACACAAAACAGGTTTTCTAGTTAACAATCTCACCACTACTTTCAACATGATTAAGGACCGCGATACCCCAAATTTCCAATTTGTTGCAGGCCTGCAGGATTTTGTGTGTTCTATCCTTAGCTTCCTAAACTATAAGAACTTTGACCACAAAGTGATACTAACTACATTGATCTCCACTTTTTCTCAGTAAATTCCCATTCCCATAACTAAGTCCTAGCAAAGGAAAAATATGTATCAAATTTACATGCAAGGGAGACAGAGAAAGATTAGCTAGATCAATACCATATATGTCCCATCAGAGCTTTCCCACATTTTATGATCTACCGAACCCACAACTCTCAGACATGTACTAGCTGATCTGATTCTCGCCAAAGAAAGACCTGTAATCTTTGCAATTTCCTCATCATCTGGGTATTTCATGTGGCTGTTGTAATTGGCTTTTCGAGCTTTCTGTATCTGATTTATTGCCTTGCTTAGTGTGAACTACAATAAAACAAATCAATGATCAACCACCAGCACTCATCAACACAATATTGTATGATCTTTCAAAGAAGAGAGGAACAACATACAGGAATTTGGACCCCCCTAGCATGCTGTGCCACCAATCTTGACATTGATTTCCTTATCCAGTATTGAACATAGGTTGAGAATCTATAACCCCTTGAGTGATCAAACCTTTCTGCACCTTGCAGGAGACCCAGGTTTCCAGCCTAAGAAATAGAGGGGGAGATAGACTAGTAAATTGAGAGTAAATATCACATAAATACATGTAGTAAGAGTAAGTTTTGACATCTGATCAAAGTTGTTTCAAACAAAATAAATGAGCTAAATGACCAATGTTTTGATTGATAACTAAAGTGGTAAGTTTGGTGGTTTTGTCAGTTGATGTTTTAGGACAAGTAATGTTTAGGATACACAATTGTAAGTTTATATATACAGTTAAACTAGCCTCTCCGCACGCGCTTCCGTGCTTGCGAGAGGTTTTTTTTAAAAAAATTAAAATTATTTTAGAATTAAAAAAATAATGGGTAGTTGTATTCCATAAAAATATGACATATTATCTAATTTTGTTTTAATATGAAAAAAATGTGAATTTATCATATTATTCTCATTTAATTAATAATTTCAATTCTTAATGCTTGAATTAACTAATGACATTTTCTAGTATTTTGAATGTTTCACCGTTCTCTACATTTTGCTTTATATATAGATGCGTTAATTTATACGAGAAAACAAAAATGAGGACAAATGCATTAATTTGTTGCAAAAGTGAGCACTGAGCAAATTATGTATCGTTAAATGCGTTAATTTGTATGAGGAAACAAAAAAATGTATAGATTAACGCATTAATTTGTAACAAAAATGAGCTAATTTTTTAGCTGCAGTACAAAAGATGAAAACCCCAAATTTGCAGAAAGAAAAAAAAAAGTACCCAAAAGGAGCTCATCTGATCTGAGCAAAGAGAAAATGATAAGGTCTAAAATGAGCGGTGACGTAAGGATGGGTTCTGCAAACGGTTTCTGAAAACCTGGTTGGCTGCATGTTTTATGCATCGTTTTCATGATTTTAGTGACATCAATGAACCAATATATCCTTATCGCAAAAATGAGGCTACTTTGGCATCAAGGCCTTCAAACGGCTACGTAAGCATCATAGCGTGGAGGGTGAGCAGCAGAGCCACATATTTTATAGGTTTTCAATAGTGTGTATATAATGTGATAACAGATAAGAGTTGACAGTGAAACAGAGATATTGGGGGAGAGCTTGATTAAATGGAGTTTAACCGCGTCATTAGAACAAACACTTGTGTGTAAACACTAGTTCAGATCATTAATATGTACCCGTGGTGACGAGAATACAATACACACCTCTATACTATACACTGTTAACTGAAAAAGAAAGAAAAAAAGAGGCTTGAAAGAACAATCAGCACATGCAATTCTTCCCCAGCACGCCGAGGGAAATGAAAGAATGCTAACATACAACATTGTAATCTTCGCATGAGAGCAACAAAAATTCCCATGGTAGAGTTGTGAGCTGCAATTTTGATGGGGAAATAAGAGAAGGTAACCCATGATTTTCTGTATCCTTCAATCTCTACCAGCGAGTAGCTATAGTTGTCAGCATATGATTGACTAATTTGCCCGGGCTACTGCTTCTGATAGAGAAACTAAGGATGGCTTGCTTTCTTTCCATGTTACTCTGAACCTACTAGTTATTCAAGTAATGGCTTAGGTATTTGTGGGATTCTTCAACCTTCAGCTTCATCAGAGCTTTCTTTTCTATCTTCCTTATCCACTCCTTGCTCACATGGAAAAGTCTGCCAATCTCCTCAAGTGACTTGGGGTCGTAGTTGTTTAGCCCGTATCGCAGTACCAACACTTGCCTCTCTCTCAAATTCAACCCTTTCAGCAGATCATGAATGTCCTTTTTCATGTGTTGCCTCATGACAGTTTCTTCAGGGCTCTTTAGTGATGTGTCTGGTGTAAATTCCTGGATCATGAACACAAAACAGGTTTTCTAGTTAACAATCTCACCACTACTTTCAACATGATTAAGGACCGCGATACCCCAAATTTCCAATTTGTTGCAGGCCTGCAGGATTTTGTGTGTTCTATCCTTAGCTTCCTAAACTATAAGAACTTTGACCACAAAGTGATACTAACTACATTGATCTCCACTTTTTCTCAGTAAATTCCCATTCCCATAACTAAGTCCTAGCAAAGGAAAAATATGTATCAAATTTACATGCAAGGGAGACAGAGAAAGATTAGCTAGATCAATACCATATATGTCCCATCAGAGCTTTCCCACATTTTATGATCTACCGAACCCACAACTCTCAGACATGTACTAGCTGATCTGATTCTCGCCAAAGAAAGACCTGTAATCTTTGCAATTTCCTCATCATCTGGGTATTTCATGTGGCTGTTGTAATTGGCTTTTCGAGCTTTCTGTATCTGATTTATTGCCTTGCTTAGTGTGAACTACAATAAAACAAATCAATGATCAACCACCAGCACTCATCAACACAATATTGTATGATCTTTCAAAGAAGAGAGGAACAACATACAGGAATTTGGACCCCCCTAGCATGCTGTGCCACCAATCTTGACATTGATTTCCTTATCCAGTATTGAACATAGGTTGAGAATCTATAACCCCTTGAGTGATCAAACCTTTCTGCACCTTGCAGGAGACCCAGGTTTCCAGCCTAAGAAATAGAGGGGGAGATAGACTAGTAAATTGAGAGTAAATATCACATAAATACATGTAGTAAGAGTAAGTTTTGACATCTGATCAAAGTTGTTTCAATGATCAACAACGAACCGCATCGAATATAATCACAGGTGAATTATTTCATGGAAAAAATTACTAAGAAACATCTTTTATAAACTAGAAAAAAATAAAAATTAATGTGTTATATTGTAAAAGCACTGTGAACAACCACAAAATGAATATAGGTTTCACAAACCTGAATTAAATCATCCAAGGCTACCCCTAGCCCTCTATAGTTTCTAGCAAGGTATAGAACTAAGGAACGAGTGCTCCTCATAAGCTCATCCTGGCAATACCAACCAAAACGCAAATGCTGTAGCAGCACCCTTTCATGAACTCCAGCTGCTTCTGCCCAGCACCTTAAGGTCACTACTTTACCAGTTTCCTTTTCCAAAGTTTCTTTAATTCTCTCCAAGTCGGCGATCACCTGTAATGATACAAAAGCATAGCTGGTAAAAACATCCTTGAAGCAAGCAAAATTTTATTTTAATCTGTACCCTTGAAGATAAGCACAACCTTAACCCCGATTGACATTTCTGCCTCATTTTTAGAAATGGTCAGTCTTCTACTTCTATAATTTGATGCTCTTTTTCCTGATGAAAGAGTAGGATTTTTAAGACCTTTCCAAATTGTTTTTGGAGGCAATGAATTAGAAGACACTATGGCATTATCTGATGTTCTTTTTCTTGATCTTCTTTCTTCCTTTTTCCCAGAACGAACAATAATCTCGAATACGTTGTTATCTTCTTTTCTCTCCATCTTACCCTCTTCAACCGGTACTGTAGGTATGTCAGACAAATCCAAAAAGCTTGAGGTTTTAAGAGTTCTTGATAGACAGATATCGAATAACTTTAGAGCCCCAAGCCTTGCTAGTTGCAAAAGAATCTCTTTCTCCAACTTTAACACATTTGAAGTAGCAAAAGTCTCCTCCAAAACATTAAGGTTTTGCAGTAACAAACTAAAATGAGATGCCGTGCATGCTTCTAAGCCTTTACTGGATATAAACTTGCCTTCTGCAACAGGCATCCGGTTGTCACTAATACTCTTTGGCACCCTCCTAAAGGCTGCCTGAAAGGCAAAAGTCATGGCAAGATTTTCATCTACTAAAAAGAATGAAAATTCAGTGTGATTGAGATTGTGCAACTTTTAAGCAACAACTCAATTAAAGGGCAAACCTTCACCTCTTCCATTTCTGAGACACCATCCTCTAAGATTTGTGGGGAAGCAGATGGACAAGTGTACACTTTCAGAGGATCTTTACTAGAAGCCTCACCTTCCTCAGAAATAACAGACAGAAAGGACAACCTTGCTGAGTTGAAAGAGCCCTCCCTGCCTCTAACTGTATCAATTTACATAGAAAATTATAAGTATAATAAAAGTTGAGTGCCAAGTTCAAGCCAATACCAATGTGCATCACTTATGGTAGATGGGAGCTTAGACAATAGCCAAATTTCCAAATTTTCCAAGTCAGTTTCAATAGCCCATTGAAAACTTCAAGACCCAATTCTTAAAAATGCCTTTTGATCATCTTGGAAATTCACTTTCTCTACTATGAACTAAGAAGTAACACAGTATGATGCTTTGTGGGTTTACTTAAAAAGATACAATGAGGTGTTTCAGATTGCCAAAAACAGATGCAATGCTGGGAAATTCAAGAAAATCTCAAAACAAAGATGAAAGTTGCAAAAGCAGAGAAACTAACAGTCTCTCTGGTGGAGCAGGCATATGAAATCAGCTGCAGAGAAAGCCAATGAAACTCACCAGAAGTTGAAGAAAGCTTCGAAGGGGAAGTGGTTTGCCAGTAAGAAGAATGAACAGGAAAGCCACACTTGAGGTTCAGCCTAAAACCCAAACCCATTGTCTGTCTTTGACTCTGTCTTCTCTTGGCACCGAAAGATGTAGAGCAACAGAGTCCATTAAATCCTCATGGGGTTGTTTTCTAGCCAAAAAAATCTTCATGGGGTTTTGAGAACTATGTACAATATTTGACTGCAACACCGTATACAAGTGTCGCTCTGCTCTCCACCACCGATTCTTCATCTCTTTAAACATGGGTGAACTAGTTTTTCACCCATCTTAAGAGTATAGCCGTGCGCTGTACAATTTTTAAAAACAAGGCCCCTCTAGCGATTGGGGTGCCACGTGTAAAATATGTATAGCCAACCGGCTATACTTAAAAAAAAGAGCAGCCACAAGGTAGTATCGCCATGCGGCTTTACGTTTTGAAAACATTAAAAAATACTTATAGCCGAGCGGCTATACGTTTTAAAAAAATTAAAAAAAACTTGTAGCCGAGCGGCTATACGGTTTGAAAAAATTTAAAAAATAATTATAGCCCAGCGGCTATACTAATTTTTAATCTAAAAAAAGAGGACCACCAGCGATTAGGCGTCTGTCAAAACAAGTATATTTTCAAAAAAATTAAAAACAAGGCGTATGGCCGTGCGGCTGTACTATTTTTTTTTTCAAAAAAAAAAAAAGAGGACCCTCTAGCGATTAGGCTCCACGTTTTAAAAATACGAATAGCCGGACGGCTATACGTTCTAAAAAAAATCATAGTTCAGCCGAACGGTTATACTATTTAATATAAAAAAATTAAGAAAAAATGACCCTCCTAATTGCATTAGTTTGTACTTTATGGATATTTGTTATTAGTTTCAACATATCCAAAGTATATATTAATTGACCACTATATTTTAATATAACTTTTATATCATATATTATTCTTATTCAATAATATGTGAGAATTATTTGTATAATACATGAATTTTGTGTGTTTTACTGAAAATTTTGTATAAAATATGTGTATAAAATATTAGAAATACATATGTACATGTATAATACGACTATTGTACGATTGCTTTTTAAAAACGTGAGACATGTCTAGAACACGAATGTATTATTGAAAAATACATACATATATATATACATATATATATAAAGACTATAGCTGCTCGTCTAAACTATTTATTAAAGATAATTAATTTAAAAAAAACTCAGTAAATCCGGCCGGCTATACGATTTTAAAAAAAAAAGAAAAAATTGAGTATTGCCGCACTGCTAGACTATTTACTAAAAAAAAAAACAAAGTAACCTCAAAACGCCTATTCGCCAACGTGTAAAATAATACACCGTTCGACCATATTGTTTTTTTTTAATTAAAAAAAACTGAGTATAGCCTTGCGGATATATTATTTTTTATATAAAAAAGAATACCCCCCAGCGATTAGACAACATGTGAAAAGTTTTATTAAAAAAAAAAAAAAAAAAAAAAACACGGTGTGTAGCCGTTCAGCTGTACCTTTTTTTTATAATTTTTTTCAGAAGAGGAACCGCTAGCGATGTAGATGCCATGTGTCCAAAAAAGTATAGCCGCCCGGCTATAGTAAAAAAATATAATAAAAAATTGTAGTATATCCATACGGCTATACTATTTATTTATTTTTATTTTTTTAAAAGGACCCTCCTATTTGCATTACTTTGTACTTTATAAATATTAATTTGCTAGTTTCAACATATCTAAAGTAGATATTAATCGGCCCCTATACAATATTTTAATATAATATTTATATCATATATTATTCTTATTCAATAATATGTGACAATTATTTGTATAATACGTGAATTTTGTGTCTTACTAAAATTTTTGTAAAAAATATGTGTACAAAACATTAGAAATATGTATGTACATATACAATACAACTATTGTACATTTGCTTTTTAAAAAACGTGAGACGTGTATATAATGCGAATATATTATCGAAAAATACGTACGTACACACACACACACACACACACACACATATAATCGGCTATACTATTTTTAAAAAAAATAGAAAAAAAATCGAGCCGCTATACTATTTACACGAGCCACGCCATTTTATTTGGGCTTTCACCTTTTGGGCTTTTTCATCACTTTCTTTCATGAGATCAATGAGAGCGTATGAAAGCCCGTGAACCTATGACTGTAAAATATAAAAGCCTATAAACCTGTGGGATTAGTGGCCCTAAGACATGAGGGCTGGAATTGTTTCATGAGATTTATTTATTTATTTATTTTGTGCTTTACCTAAATGTTTAATATGCAATTTACACCTTTAAAAAATATGGTTTAAACTTTAGAGTACACAAAAGCTCAAATGGCTAGAGATGTGAAATAAGATTAACTGATATGATATGTGACACTCTAGTTTGTGAGGATTATGCGAGCATGTGAATTTATGCCGGTTGATCAACAAAATCTTTTAGTACGCTACAATTACTCTCGTTCTGATTATACTCTTCAATGTTCTTTCTTAGGACTATTGCCCAATTCCATTTAATGATCGAAACTACATTTTAGGTCTCGCTTCAAGAGTCATACATGCAAACAAATCATACATATTGGAAATTATTTGGTCATCTAAAAGGTGCAAAGAAACACAATTTGTGAAACAAAGAAGGTGCAAAGAAACACAATTTGTTACATAAAGAAAATGAAAAAAGCGAATAATCGAATAGGTAAACAATTTTTAATTTAGTTGATTTTTGACATGAATGATCCTTGAAAAAGAACCTAACGACTGAATGAGTTACTATCCGTAAATAAAATGTAATTATTTTTTTAAAGAATCCTTAATAATGCTAACTAGCATTAAATGGAAGGGAATGAAACTTTTAACCTAACTTAATTCTAACTCACTCCTGTGGATGGCAAAAATTATTCTTCTCTACTTGCCAAAAAGAAAAGAAAAGAAAAAACTAAATTAAGAGATTATGTAAATTAGACCATGAGGTATTCCAAAACGAGAAATGCTAGCAACCTTCTCTCTAACATTCTCCTTTGGACCTTCTCCCTTTTTTGCTTGACATGTGTCATTCTTCTTACACTTAAAACAATGTCATTAATATATTATATAAGCTAACTTTTGCTTTCAAAGTTTACCATTATTAAATGTATTCAATTTATCCAAAAAAAATTCACAACTTTCTTACCATCTTATTAATTTTTTTCTAACGTTAATTTTTTTTTTTAAATAAAATATTTGCTTTTAAGAGGAAATGTCCCCTTTTTTTTAATTTTTTTTTAACACAATGGGTTTAAATAGAGAAAAATGTGTTTAAAAAAAAAAAAGGACATTTCCTATTTTTTGAAAAAAAAAAGAAGAAGACATTTTCTTTAAAAAAATAATTGATGTTTAAAAAAAATTAAGAATATGGTAAGAAAGTTTGAATTTTTTTTAGATCAATTGAATACATTTAATAAGGGTAAACTTAGAAAACAAAAGTTAACTTGTATAATATATTAATGACATGGTTTTAAGCGTAAGGAGAATGATACATGTCAAGCAAAAAATGAAGAATGTCTAAAGAAGAAGGTTAGAGAGAAGATTGCTAACATTCCCCTTTCAAAACATAGTAGATCTAATATAAGCTATTTGACGACATGATGTAAACACACAAATTGAATGACTCATGTCCAATGGCAACCCAGATTCTCAGATTTTGAAAAACATAGAACCTTAACAAAATATCTTATGTTGAAATTATTGCGTAATTAAACCAAAAGCTGCCTAACGAATCATATAATAATAACACGGACTTTATGGGAGAAAAACAAATAATAAAAAATCATACAACATGCAGGATTCCGTGTCAAGCGGTCAAAGGCGTCTGTTTCCCAACGGGGGTAGCGAACGTTCCAAATATACCCCCTTGCTTAACTTAACCAACAGAAACCAGTGTAAAATCCTCGTAATTAAGTGAAAAAACAGGGGCAACTGATAACAAACCAGTCAGAGATGGCAAGCTCCAGTCGCGGTGCGGGCCAAACCAAACCCGGAAACGAAAACGAAAGATCGAAAGCCACATTACGTACTGTGATTTGTGGAAAGACTGTATATGTAACTGCTAAAAGTCTAAACCGCTACCAACAAGCAAAACCTCTCCATTTGACCAAGATTTGCATAGCATATGGCTTCCATGGAGATGGAGATCGACGGTTCTGGAATTGTATCTTCCAATGAGATCAAGCATAGAGGCAAGAAAAACATGGTGAGGAAGAAAAAGAACAAGAGCAAAAGGACGAGCACAAAAGAAAAGTTTCATTACCTGCCAAAGTTTCGGTGTTTCAGCTTGAAATCTGAAACGGACGGGAAAGGGAATTTTGATATGGAGGTTGAGGATGAAGGGCGTGGGAAAATGACGCCTACCCATCTTATTATAATGGTGAATGGTCTTATAGGCAGGTTGATATTCTCTGTTTGCTTAAATTGAATGTGGGTTGAAGCTCAAGCTTCCGTCTTTTTCATTTATATATTAATTTATTTGTGTTACATTTGGTACAGTGCTCAGAATTGGAAATATGCAGCAAAACAGTTTATCAAGAGATACCCAGAAGATGTTATTGTTCACTGTGAGTCCTTTTCTCCATGACTTGCTTGCTTAGACAAATTTTTTGCTTTTTTTGAATTACCAATTGCATTTCCCTATAATGAAATGAGTTTGAATTGCAGGCAGTGAATGCAATTGCTCAATGCTGACATTTGATGGGGTTGATGTAATGGGGGAGAGATTAGCAGAAGAGGTGCGTTATCTTTGGACTAAATTCATTCATCATCCAACCAAATTGTTTGTCAATGTCATCTTCCTTAGAATTGGAATTCATGGGTTTATGATTTTCTGTTTGTTGGATTGGTTCAGTTTCATTGCTATAATTATTAATTTTTTTTCTTCAGGTTATTTCCGTCATAAAACGCCACCCAAGTGTTCAGAAGATCTCGTTTGTTGGTCATTCATTAGGCGGCCTTATAGCAAGGTACGCCATTGGCAGGCTCTACGAAAGAGACCTCACGAGGGAACAATCTCAGGAAAATGGAGAATGTAGGAGTGATGGAGTTGAGGATCCATTGCTGGAGCACAAAGTCAAAGGCAAAATTGCTGGACTGGAGCCTGTGAATTTTATAACCTCTGCAACTCCGCACCTTGGTACCAGGGGGCATAAACAGGTGACTTGAGTTGTTA